AAGTATTCTATAAAGACATAAAATATAAACATTGTTTATGCCAGAATTTGAATAATAACTGCAGCAGTTTGGGCCTGAGGATATTTCTCGGGCACTCTGACCATTAAGAGTTAATAATACACAGCTTGGAACATGGTGGCGTGCCTGGGATGGCTTGAAGATTGTTTTGGTCAAATGTCCTTGTAGCCACAGAAGCAACCGGCCTGAGAACAGCTTGTCATGTGCCTCTAGATCCTTAAAAATCTGGTTATGGGGTAACTGAGTAAAAATAATAACTGTTTATCAATGATGTCAAAACTTGGAAAATGATTGGAAATGATAACTCTGTTCTGTCACAGTTTATCAGTGATGACTAAAATATGAGCAAAAGGAAGTAAAACACACGTCCAAAACCAAAAATGGTATGATCAATGTTTCGGAACAACGTGAACATATCCCTGCTTACTAAATTCTTTATAAATAAAGAAGTGTAGGCCGGGCGGTGGTGGCGCACGCCTTTAATCCCAGCACTCGGGAGGCAGAGGCAGGCAGATCTCTGTGAGTTCGAGACCAGCCTGGTCTACAAGAGCTAGTTCCAGGACAGGCTCCAAAACCACAGAGAAAACCCTGTCTCGGAAAAAAAAAAAAAAAAAAAAAGAAGTGCTCTGGCCGCCAGTCAGTCAGGCTGCTAGAGTCTTCCGACCGTCTGGCCTGGCTCACTTCCTTCCCTCACCAACTCTTTACATCCTGGACTGGGTCCTGCCCACTGCCGGGGATGGCTCCTAGCAGGCTTCCTTTTCTTTATTTTGTTATTTTAATTTGGATGAAGATCTCTTTTATATTTTATTATTTTCAGTTGTGAGTAGGGGTTTGTGTGTGTGAGTACAGGCTCCCGTTGATGCTGGAGATGTCGTATCCTTCAGGCTAGAGTTAGAGACAGCCGTGAGCTGCCTGCTGTGAGTGCTGGGACTTAATTCAGATCTTCTGCAAGAGCAGCAAGTGCTCTTAACCACTGAGCCGTCCCTCCAGGCCCCGGGGGTTACATCTTTAAAAAGCTCTCTGGTTGCAAGGCTATATTTAATTGCAACGAACTAGCTGGCTTTTGTGATAGGAACAGTTGGTGATTATTCTTGCCCTACTTCTGCCCAGAATTTCACACCACCCACGACACCTTGTTTCAAATGGGTCCTGGCCATCTGGAAGCTGGCCAGGGTCCTGTGATTCTGTCTGGTTCTCCTATCTCACCACACTACCTTCCAAGGGAAAATATGACATTAAATGGCTCTCTCTCTCTCTCTCTCTCCCCTCCTACTCTCCTCCCCTTCCCTCCTCTCCTCCCTCCCCCCCCCCCCGTCTGTCTGTCTCTCTCTCTGTCTCTCTCTCTCTGAGATAGGATTTCTCTGGGTAGCCCTGGCTGTCCTAGAACTAGTTCTTTAGACCAGGCTGACCTCCAACTCCAAGCTCTACCTGCCTCTGCCCCCCCCCTTTTTTCTGTTTTAAAAAATTGTTTTAAGCCTGGCATGGTGTTGTACGCCTTAAATCCCAGCTCTCAGGATGCAGAAGCAGGCAGATGTCTGAGTTTGAGGGCACCCTGGTCTACAGAGTAAGTTCCAGGACAGCCAGGGCTATACAGAGAAAGCTTATCGAAAAAAAAAAATTGTAATGTGGCTGGAGAGTTGGCTCAGAGGTTTAAGAGCACTGCCTGCTCTTCCAAAGGTCCTGAGTTCAGTTCCCAGCAACCACTTTTTTGGCACACAGCCATCTGTAATGAGCTCTGGTGCCCTCTTCTGGCCTGCAGGCATACATGCAGACAGAACACTGTATAAATAAATAAATAAATACATTTTTTTAAAAAATGGTCTTAAGCTAGTCTTGGTTGCATTTGCCTTTAATCCCAGCACTGGTACAAGCTGGTGGATCTCTATAAGTTCGAGGTCAGGCTGGTCTACATTTTGAGCTCCAGGACAGCCAGGACTACCTAGAGAGACCCTATATCAAAAATAAATTTTTAAAACAAAATTTTTTTTTACTTTTATTTTACACAGTTACGTGTTTGTGGGCGTTTGTATGTACTCTGTGTATACAGGTACCAAGGAGGACAGAAGATTGTGTTAGATCTCGTGTAACGGGAGTTGCAGGTAGTTGTGAGTGGCCGGACATGGGTGCTGGGAACCGAACCCAGGTACTCGGCAAGAGCAGCAAGTGATTTTAACTGCAGAGCCATTTCTCCAGCTCCAATCTATTTCATTTCTAACTATGTGTATGTGTGTATATCTGTATGTGAGTGTGCGCGGACGAGTGTATGTGCGTATATCTGTATGTGAGTGTGCGCGGACGAGTGTGTGTGCGCGTATATCTGTATGTGAGTGTGGGCGGACGAGTGTGTGTGTCGTATATCTGTATGTAAGTGTGCGCGGACGAGTGTGTGTGTATATCTGTATGTGAGTGTGCGCGGACGAGTGTGTGTGTATATCTGTATGTGAGTGTGCGCGGACGAGTGTGTGTGTGTATATCTGTATGTGAGTGTGCGCGGACGAGTGTGTGTGTATATCTGTATGTGAGTGTGCACGGACGAGTGTGTGTGTATATCTGTATGTCAGTGTGTGCGGATGAGTCAGTGTATGCGTATATCTGTATGTGAGTGTGCGCGGATGAGTGTGTGTGTGTATATCTGTATGTGAGTGTGCATGGACGAGTGTATGTGTATATCTGTATGTGAGTGTGCACGGACGAGTTTATGTGTATATCTGTATGTGAGTGTGCGCGGATGAGTGTATGTGTGTGTATCTGTATGTGAGTGTGTACAGACGAGTGCAGGCGCTCATGAGGGAAGAGACTGGATTTCACTGGATTGTGAGCTGCCCAGTGTGAGTGCTGGGCACCATACTTGGTACTCAACCATCTGTAAGCTCTAAGCCATCTCTCCAGCCCCTTCTTTTTTAATTTTAAAAATATGGAGTGCTTCAAGAATTTGTGTCATGCTAATCTTCATGTTGTTCCAATTTTAGTGTATGTGCTGCCAAAGCAAGAACCTTTCCCTGCCTTTGGGTTTTTGTTGTTGTTTTGGTCTTTGAGACAGGGTTTCTCTGTGTAGCCCAGGTTGTCCTGGAACTAGCTCTAGTAGACCAGGCTGGCCTCGAACTCCCAGAGATCCGCCTGCCTCTGCCTCCCGAGTGCTGGGATTAAAGGCATGCACCACCACCGCCCGGCGCAGAATATTCTTTTATGTGTCTCAGCTTTCAGCTTCTCTGCGGCAAAAGTGCATGGGGGCCAGCACTCGCAGCAGCCTTCCCCTGAGGTCTCCTCATGTATCCAGCATATTCTTAGTCCCGCCCCACCAGCCTCCTAGATACTCCATTTCCTGTGGATCTCAACCAGGAGCAACCACAGAACAGCCCTTTCTGGTGTCCTAGCACCTACTGAGAAACAGAGAGAGTAACCACTCTTGGCACATATGTTAAGTTTTGGGTGGCATCAGCCACTGCTCATCATCCTGGACACGGAGAGAACAGAGCTGGAGACAGAGGAAGCACAGGGCAGAGGGTAGTGTGTGCGGCAAACAATTCACAGGAAAATATCATCCACTAAATTGTTAGCCGGGGCTGTCAATATGGTTCCGCAAATAAAGATGCCTGTATGCAAGGGACCCAAGCAGAAACATTCTGTGGTAGGTGGGGGCGGGGCACAGGCTTTCCCCTCCACCACCTGAAAATAGATGGTGCTGGCATTAGGTCCACATGAGCTAATGCCGAGGATCTGTGGGGAGTGGACTCTGGCTATCAGATATGCGGCTCCTGCCCATTCTACTTTCCCAGGAAAGTAAGTATATTGTAAGTGAGCTTGGTCACTCGGAGTCTTATGAGTTTTAGCTATCAACGGAAGCTACATAACCACTAAGAAATGACCCTCTGGTACTCTCCTGCCACCTACTCAGTGTTGTGTAAACCGGGCCCTGGGACTCAGTGTGGAAGGGAAACGGCTTCCTCCAGTGGCTGATAGACTCCGAGAGGACAGAATGAGAAACACCAACTGCTTGAGGATCTTGTGTGTTTTAGGGGGCTGTGGGACCCACATGCCCAACCTGAATCTTTGTCCTGAATGCCGAGAGCCTCAGACCCTGCACTGAGAAGTGAGGTCAGAGAAATCTCTCAGCACTCAGGTTAAGTACGTGGGTGTGAAGCCTCTAGGTGTGTGCACAGGCTTCCTGGAGAGGGAACCCATCCCCACTACCCACCACCACCATCAGGCTAGGGCACTGTCTCTAAAGCCATAATCACAAACGCAGCCACCTCCCGCTTTCTATGCACACGCAGGACCAGAATGGTCCTGGGCTCTCCCTCCAAGCCACATGGAGTCCTCACCACCAGAGGGCCCGGCCTTTGGCACAGGTAGGAGACCCTGTGGCCTCTCCTGACTGCTTGTCCACTGCATGGGCAGTGCTCCTTCGGATGTCAGGGTGAGCCCAACGATGCTCCCTCAGGTTCTTGGGAAATGGTGGTAAATCACGTTCTCAGGAGAAAGCCTGGGCTCAGACACAGCGTAGGGACCCACAGCCCACCCCTTCCGCTCTCCAAGGAGGATATGTAAGCGGAGGGCTGGGCAGTGGGCAGGAGACCACAGGTGGTAATGGGGACGGCCCAGTTAAGCCAAGCCCCCTGTCCTGAGTTGTAACAGCAGCAACTTGAACTACTCTGGACTACTCCAACAGTAGATCCTGGGCTGCAGAAGTGAGGTCCTGGTACACAGATGACAGGAACGCAGAGGGACAGCAGGCTGAAAGTTGCCTGCCTCCCTTCCTCTCCAGACACAACAAACCCTGTACAGCCGACCTTTCATGCTACCCACACACACACACACAGCTGGGGAGAGTTTTGGTGGAAAACTTTTTTTCTTTTCAAGACAGAGTTTCTCTGTTTCGTCTGTCCTGGAACTTGCTCTGTAGACCAGGCTGGCCTTGAACTCAGAGATCCACTTGCCTCTGCCTCCCGAGTGCTTGGACTAATGGTGTGCACCACCACTGCCCGGCTCGAAAATTAAAGCATTTTAATAAGACTGCAGGCACAGTTTATAACTGTATTTTAGAGTTTGGGTAGTTAGTGGGGAAGATGAAGTAAGCTTGGGTTGGGGCAAATGATTCTGGGAAGAACGGCTCTGCCTGCGTAGGGACTCGAGGGGAACCACCCTTAGCTTCTGTTAGAAGCCCTAGGGTGGCAGGTGAGGACAAGAGCTAGCCAACTAGCATGACACGTTGGGGTTAGCTGTTGCAGAGCCCTTGGAATGAATCTATCCCGGGGAATGTTGTTTGTTCCTGGCCCCTGTGAAGTTCCCTACATTAGCCTCCCTTAGAGCCTGTCATAGCAGGAGATCTCCTATTCCCACGATCCTAGATGCCAAGGTCTCATCCCATTCCTGCGAAGAAAAGACGGCATCCCAGGCACTGATAGTGGGGTCTAGTGTAAGTCCTGGGCAGGAAGGCAGGGCCAGTGTCCCTGACAGGTACTGGCCTCCAGGCTGGCAGAGGACCCTAGTGAAAACCGCTTGACAACATCATCAGCCTCCCAAGACCCCTCCCGAACCTTCCGAAGCCTTTGGGAATCCTGCCTGCACCAGCCTCTCCTCTTTTTCTTTCCACCCACTTTCTAGGCACAAGCAGGACCCGGATGGTCCTGGGCTCTCCTCCAAGCCATGTGCCGTCCTCACCAGCAGAGGGCCCGGCCTCTGGCGCAGGTAGGAGACCCTGTGTCCCTTCTCTCGCGCATGCTTGTCCTGGGTCTTACGTCTTCAACCTGCCCTCTGACACTGTCCATCTCCCCGCCAAATGCCGCCGAAAGACCACTGTGTGCTCAATTCCACTGGCAACCGGAGATGATTGCCATTGCACCTGCGGCTACCAGGGTCGCCGCAGGGTTCCCGGGAGTCAGGCGAGGACCCAGCTACCCAGCGTGACCACTAGGGAAAGGCAGGACCGGCACCCTATCTCCCCCCACCCCACCCTATCCCACCCCCGAGAAAAACCTCGGCTTCGGCAGCGGCGGCGCCTCCCTCACTGGGCTAGGGAAGAGGGACCCTCGGGTGGACGGGGCAGGTCGATCACGGCTCGGGCGGTCTGGACTCCGGCCGCACCGACTGCGGGGCGCGGGTCCGCTCGCCCGAGGCCGTACAAGCCTTAGCGGAGAGCGCCCTCTCGCGGCCAGAGCGGAAGGCTGCAGTCACAGTCACCAGGTAAACGGTGCCGGGAGTCAGGCCTTGGATGGTGGTGCTGTTTTGGCCAGCGGGCACCTCCACGCGCTGCAGGGAGCCGCATGGCAGAGGCCCGAGCTGGATATGGTAGCCGAGAGCGGAGTCCGGGCCGAGCGCGGGGGCCCAGCTTACGCGGAGGCTGCGTGGTCTGGTATGCGAGATGACGATGCGTTCCGGCCCGACCTCCTCTGCGGAGGAAGAGGGTGGTTGGTTGGAGGGGCGCCCCTGGCATGCCACCCTGCCCGCCCATGAGATCCCCCAGCTTCACCTTGCAGCGTGCGTACTCGCACGTACTGGGGCCGCAGAGGGTGCACGTTGGACTCGGGCAGCAGCGCTACTTCATAATCCGTGTCTGGATTGAGGTCGGTCCAGATCCAGCTGGTGGCATTCCCTGGCAGCTGTTGGCGTCTTGCGGCTGACAGTTTGTCACTGGGCACAAGCTCCAGCACGTAATAACCAGAGTCCGCAGTCAACAGGGGCGGCCAGGACAGGCGGAAGCCATTGGACAGAATCTCTGAGGCATGAAGCTGCTGTGGCTGCATCGCATCTAAGGATGGTGTAGTGCTGGGGTCAGGGAAAGGAAATGTTCTCCTTGTCACAGAGTGGGGCTCTCACTGATCCCGAGGGGACCCGAAGATTGGGGCCCTGGTAAGACTGGTGGGGCCTTCTACCAAGGAGAGGTGGGAGCCAGGTGGGTATTCACCACCTGCAGGTGCTAATGACTGTAAAACTCTAACTGGGCTTGTGGAAGGACAGTCCCCAGCTCCTGGCCACATCATAAACTTCCCTGCCTACTTCATCTTCAGACCTGATCTGTACAATATAGGGGCTACTCCTCACAGAAAAACAAGCTGGATGAAGGTCTCTCAAAGGTGACAAGGTCTACGGTATTATCTGAGAACACAGGACTGATGTGGGAAGTCCTTCTGTATATGTGTTGCTTTATTGGTTGATGAATAAAGCTGCTTCGGCCTATGACAGGGAAGAATATAGCCAAGTGGGAAATCTGAACAGAGATGGAGAGATAGGCAGAGTCAGGAAGACACCATGTAGCTGCCGAAGGAGACAGACACCCTGGAACCTTTACTGGTAAGCCACAGCCTTGTGGTGATACACAGGTTAATAGAAATGGGTTCATTTAAGATGTAAGAGTTAGTTAATAAGAAGCCTGAGCTAATATAGTTTCTGGTGCCCAACATTGGGCACCATTTGTAGGCAGAGACTGCTTGTTCATTTCCCAGCTGCTCAGACCCAAATAATCACACAAAAATTATATTATTTACAATATTATTTGGCCAATAGCTTGGTTGTATTCTTTGCTAGCTCTTACATCTTGAATTAACCCATATCTATTCATCTATATATCGCCATGAGGCTGCGGCCTAACGTCCGGCATCTGTCACCTTTGGCAGCTACATGGTGTCTCCCCGACTCCGCCTACTGTCTCCCCATATGTCTGTTCAGATTTTCTGCCATTGGCTGAAGCAGCTTTATTCATCAACCAATAAAGCAACACATATACAGAAGGACATCCCACATCAGAGGACCTGACCCCCAAGCTGAGTGCTCAGCACAAATCTGTTGTGAATCATATTCTAAACAGCTGTGCAGGAGGGAAACAGATCAGAGCCTGCAGTCAGGAGATGTGAGACTACATGTTAGTGGCCCAGGAACAGTGGAAATGTGATAACCCCAGGAGCAGCCAGACCTAAGGTTAGAGAGAGGGTGGGACCCTTCCTTTATAAGAGAGTGGAAAGGGGGACCCCAGAACGAGCTTCAGGGCTCATGACAACAAACATTGTCAGCCATCTGACCAGTATGCAGGTAAGGCTGGGTAAACCCATCCAGATCTTGGCTTTCTTCCTTGTTGATACTGGGTGCTAAGTTTGGTCAGCTGGGCACCCACTTTCCTGTTCAGCCTCCCACTCAGATTCTGACCTTAGCTACAGGTTCCCCACCCTAATACTTATCTCTGATGTCAGCCTTTTCTCCTTCTGCCCTCTCCAGGTTCATCTGGGCCTCTTGGCCCAGGGATTACCAGGTGATGTCCCTAGGGAATCTCTTGAGGCAGACCTTTCACCCTTTTCCAACCCACAGATAAACCCATTCCTGTTCAGTGTAGATGATTAACCCTGGTTAACCCACAGAAAGAGACTTGGTAAGAGGGCTACCTTGGAGTGATAGCATTTTTCAGTGCCTATGACAGCTAAGCCAGCCAGCAGCCCCTTAGTCTCTACCCCTTCTCTTTGGGAGGTCAGATGTATGAGGTCCAGAAGAAAGCCGGTGCTAAGCTCCTACAGTGTCTTCCCTGTTCTGGCTTCCCCAGCAATTCCTACAATAAACACAAGTGAAAGAAAAACAGCAGGAGACGATCCCTGACTACTTGACTCTCCTTTCTTTGGGAATGGTGGGCCTGGCAAGCCACTTGGTCCTAACACACACACACACACACACAGGCACATGATGTCAGAGAGATCCCTGGGGAAGCCTTGGACCTCTTATCCACACACCCCCCACCCAAAGTTAACCCTCAGTTTATTGGTCTTATACATGCCAGAGAGTCACATCTTGAAGTGGTGGCTCCGACCTGCCACAGTCTCTTTATAGCCCAGGTGACAGGGTACATGAAGGCACCCAGAAGGACTATGTTCCTGGACAGTGTGCAGAAAACATGTGGGTCACCTCCCCACTGCTGCATCTACAAGGGCATCCGGCTCATGAGTTTCCCCTGAAGTCTGCAGCCAGCTGTCAGCCAGGGAGGCCCTGGCTCTCCCCACCTACCAGTGATGGAGCCCCGAAGTTCTGGAGCGATGATCTGAAGGTCATCCACATCCACAAAGTGTAGGTGCTTCTCAGCAGGAGCTGAGGCAGCCGCCGACAGTTCCAACAGGTTGCCCCGGCCAGTGCTGACGATGAAGACGGTGACACCCAGGTCCTTGAGATCCTGTATAGGGGGCCCTACAGGATCACTGGAGCCTCCATCGGTCACCCACACCAGGACTTTGGGAACCCCTAGCCGGGCACCTGCTGCTTCGGCAAACAGTTGCTCTTTAGCATAAGCCAGTGCCAAGCCTGTATTGGTGTCACCCATACGTTGGGACGCCACACGTACGGCATCCTGTACAGCCTGGCCTGAGCTGTACTGGTCGAAAGTAAACTCTGTGTGCGGCCGACTGCCCACATGCACCAGGCTAGCACGCACAGCCCCGGGGCCAAAAGGCATTGCAGACACCAGCTGCCCCACGAATTCCCGAACTCTGGAGAATTCATAGTGTGACACGCTGGCTGAGCTGTCCAACAGGAACAACAGGTCCCCCTGGGGGGCTGACGCTGTGGCACCTGGAGGAAAAGACAAAGGGTTCAGTCTAGGTGGTAGCCCCCCCGCCCCCAGACAGCCCCATGCCCGGGGCAGAGCCACCTTCAAAGGCCTGAACTTTCCCTAAGCATATGATTGCCTCTGTCCAAAGATACTGGTAGTAGAACCCCCAGAATGGTGCTATAAGCCAACAATAGCTCCCGGCTGTACAATAGCTGTGTACCTAGGGCACCGTGGGCTGCCCTCATGTTCCTTATGTGGGTGCTAACACTCTCCCCAATAGACCCTGCGTGCAGGTGGAGCCGAGGGTTCAGGCCTAGGTCTCCTGCAGGGCCCTGAGCCACATGCATTGTAGCTATTAGGCTGTTTTCAGAAGGGCTACCTCCAGGGTGGAGTTAAAGCTAGGTAGTCAGTTTCCAGGTAAAGCAATGGGCTCTGAGCATACCCAGCAACAGAGACAACAAGGCAGGATAGGCGAGCAAAAGTGAAGGGATGGGGAAGATGAAACAGTGCACAGCCAGCCCTCCCCACCCATCTGACTGCCAGGTCGGAATCGTCACCCCAGTAACAGATGACACCTCCCCTCCTCTGTCCCCCATTCTGTTTCATTTGTGCCAAGAAAGCAGGATATTCCTCTCCGAAACAGCCTGAGGGACCAACCATTATCTAGTGAGCCTCCCCTTTATCCCTTTTTTTTCCAGTCCGGTAGACACTGATCAGTACTAAAAGTACTGATGAGACCTTCCATCACTAAGTCTCAAGTAGGCAGGGGCTCTCAGGATTCCAGCCCTGGCTTTGGGGATTCCCCCTCCTTGTGGGGCCATTCCAATCTTTTTACCCCCTTTCTGGTGAGAAACTTTTCAAAGGTAAGGAAACTGAGGCAGGGAGTGCCTCTCAAACATCTTACTCCACTATCCAGGCCTGAGGGGCGGGGCGGGGCGGGGCAGACCGTGGCCTCCGCGCTCTGTGTCCAGCACCGGCTCAGTTGAGTCACCGAGCTCCTGGGAGCGCCCACCGCAGGTGGCTGAGGTGCTGCCATGTGCCCCACCCTCTTCCCCGGCCTTTCCGCCCACTTGTCCCGTGGCTGCACCTGGACAGTCACGACCCGCGTGGGCAGCGGCCGATGGGTTTGTCAGGAATTGGAATCCGGGTTCCACCACACTTACTGCTCTCCACGCCGCTCCCCGCCAGTGCCAGCCGCAAACTCAAAGCCAGGCTGAGTGCAGTCCAGAACAGCATCGCGCATGGAGTGTCGGGCTCTTGATCGCAGCTGGCAGCTAACTTGCCCTCCTACCGCAAGCAAGGCAGGCCCACCCACCTCTTAGAAACCACACCCGCTCCCGTGGCCACGCCCCTGCGTGGGAGGCGCGTGCACTCTGTCGCGCGCGCTCAAAGACCAATCTGCACGGACTGCACAGCGGTGCGTGCCCCAGCGGTCCCAGACTTGCGGTGACAAGCAACAGCCACAAAAGAACATACATGTGGGCATGCGCTAACATTCCCATCTCTCTTCTGTAGGCTGTGATAATGTGTCGTCCATATTCTTCACCTCTCTCCTCTCCCCTTAGAGTTCCTCACAGCTTCTGATCTGCAAAATGCCTGAAGTCAGAACCGAGAGAGCCTTAGAAGTGGGGCTATACAAAGAAGCAACCTCCCCTCAACCAACAAGGACCCAGCTGGGTGAGCAGCCGGGTTTCTCCGAAGACTGACCAGTAGAGACACTGTTTCAAGAGGATTTAAGAAGCTTCTTAAAGATTGAAAAGCCCCGCCTTGCCAGCACTCTCACCCGAATTCTTGGAGGAAAATACATAAGCCAGACAGTCAGAAGCTATCCAGTGTGACCATAAAGGCCTATTGCTTCCCTATACATTGGCTATGCCCTAGCCAGACCCCAGCGGGACCAGAGACCCACTGATGATCCAGAGCTGGGCCCTGCAGTCAATACCAAAACTCAGACCAAAGTGTGGTTCTCCACAGGATACTGAGCCCTTAGAGAAGGCTGCTTGCCAGCCTGGTCTACAAGAGCTAGTTACAGACAGTAAAGACTGTTACACAGAGAAACCGGTTATGTATCAAAAAACCAGTGGGGAGAGGGATGGAGGCAGGGGAGGGGGCTGCACGTCTGGTGCCCTCCTGAGACTCTTCGCTGTGGAGTAACGATAGTGATCAGGATGGAGGCACACATGATGGGGGGGTGTCTGGCAGGATGTCCCCTCCCTTCCCACTCTCAGCAAGAGGATGCTCAGCAGGGAGGACGGATGGGATTCAATGGTTTTCCTTCCTTCGTTTCTGGCAGGTGAGACGCTGTGGGGGCCTTGAGGACTGTGCCTGAGTTTGGCTTTGCCTAAAAAAGGAAGCATACAGCTGAGCCTGAGCGGCTTGTTGCAGGAACAAGTAAGAGCTATGTGTGGCCGCCGTCCCCCACCCGCTTGCCGGGAATCTTGGCAGTGGGTGTTGGCTTCGTTCCACAGACCTCAGGCCTCTGAATGGACCAGAAAGTGCTTGATGCTTCTGCCTGAGCCTTGAGGACGGGAGCAGTGTGTGTGGGTCTCTCAAAGAGTGTGCCTCACAGGGGCCACCAGCTAACTCCTGGCTCTCAAAACGCAAGGTTGCTGTGGAGATGGCACTGTGAACAAGCAGAGGACATGGGGGGCGCGGGGAGGGTGTCCAGCAGAATCATTTCATCTAACCCTTACTCTGCCGGGGACCTGGGTCTTAGAGAAAGCAGAGGTTCATAGCCCTCAGGCCTATAGACACACCTCAGCCTGCCCTGTTTCCATCCCTTCTGGAAAAAGTGAGCAGATCTTGGCTGTGACGCTGGCCCTTGAGGAAGCAGCTGCCCTCCTTCTTCTGGCCTCACCATCAGATGGAGAGGGCACAGGCGGCCTAGTCTCCACCCAGCCCAGTCCAGGCTGGGCTACCTGCCTGACTTGAGCTCAGGCTGAATTGCTCCTGCTGCCAGATTCCTTGGGACACCCCTTCCCATCATCCCCCCCCCCCCATCAGCCACCAGAAAAAGCCTGTCCTTTTGTCTCGCAGTGGTCCCCACCTCCGGAAGACATACAGACACCCTAGGGAGTAGGGGTCAGCCAGGGGTGCAATGGTCATGTTCAGGGCTGGGCTTGAGGCCCACCAAAGGAAGGACAAATAGTTCAGAAGCATTTTCTCTAAAGGGAGATAGGCTCAGGGTAGGGGAACGGGCAGAAATGTGGTCACAGGCAAAGATGGGCCAGGCCAGGGTGACCTTTAACCTTCAGTCCTCGGCCCCCAGGGACTGCCCCTGCCTGTTCCTGTCAAGGACAGCCCTTGATGCTAATTCTATTCTGCAACAATGGCTTTGGCTGGAAACAGGGAGTCCCTGTGCTTGACTTCCTGGAGCAGTCGGCCTGCCCTGTCTGTCTGCAGGCAGGTGGAGGGGTTTCCTGAAGTCTAGAGACACTGCCCTTAGCACAGTGCCCCTGCTTTCAACCAAGGACCCTAGGGAATGTTCCTTTCCTCCCACAGTCAGGCTTCTGAGGAGAAGAAGGGCCTTTTGTCCACAGATGGCTGTGGTCATGCTCAACCCCAGGGAAAAGGGCAGCTCCTAGGGCCTCTGACCTGACCCTTGACCCCACAGAAGGACAGAGCTGCCTGCCCTAACCGCTGCCTCACCACCCGAACTATGAGCTGTTGTTTGTCATATTTTTGTGTTTTGTTTTTTTCACGGAGGAACACTGTGGACTTCCTCACTGACTCATGCTTGGCTAGCTTTCTTATATAGCCCAGGACCACTCGCTCAGGTAATGGCTTTGGTCCTCCTACAACAATTAACACACAAAATAATCCCCTACAAACCAGTCTGATCCGAGGATCCCTCAACTGAGACTTCCTTTTCAGATGGCTCTGGCTATAACTAGGATGGGTGCTGGGGGGGGGGACGGGGGGGGGAACGGGACTTCTCCCACTTCCACCAGGCTGAACTGCTCTGAAATGTCTTCTTTCTTTCTTTCTTTCTTTCTTTCTTTCTTTCTTTCTTTCGAGACAGTGTTTCTTTGTGTGGCCTTGGCGGCTGCAGAGCTGGCTCTGTAGACAAGGCTGGCTTCTAACCCAGAGATCTGCCTGCCTCTGCCTCTCAAGTGCTGGGGTTAAAGGTGGGTACCACCACCGTCCCACTTGTCATGTAATTTGAGTCTAGCATGAAAACCCAAGCACACACCAGAACACAGAAGCAGGAAATGGTGGGACCAGCTCTTGGAGGCCTGGGGCAGTGGAATGGGCTGAGCCTGAACCCTATGGCCCCATCTCGCAGCAGTCAAGGCGCAGCCAAGAGTGTCAGGGATCTCAGCTCCTTCCTGCTATCTATTTTACTTTCTTTTAGACCAGCTCTGGTGGGGCAAGTTCCAGAGCCTGAGTCTGAGGATTGGGTCTGTAGACCTAGGGTCCTGTTTTACCCTCAGGGATCAGAGCTGACCCCAATCTACTTCCCTTGCAGCTAGAGCATCAGGGAAGACAAATGGCTTGGTGAGCAGCCTGAGCATAGGGTGCATGCAAATGACCCCTTTATTTACCAGTCCATCCCCCAGTCTCTGCACCGAAGACACAGGCACAGGGCCAAACCCCGTGCTCCAAGTCCTGCTGCAAAGTGAGGACTCAGCAGGAAAGATCCATGTTAACAGAGACGCAGGGTGTTATCTAATTATTTGTTTGCTTGCTTGTTTGTTTGTTTTCAAGACAGGGTTTCTTTGTGAAACAGTCCTGGCTGTCCTGGAACTCACTGATATCTGCCTGCTTCTGCCTCCCGAGTGCTGGGATTAAAGACATGTGCCACCACTGCCCAATGGTGAAGGGTGTTATGATTTGAATCTGCAATGGTCCCCAGACTCATGCTTTTAACACTTGTTCCCTAGTTAGTTTTTTTTGTTGTTGTTGTTGTTTGTTTGTTTTTTTTAATTTTTCGAGACAGGGTTTCTCTGTAGCTTTTGGTGCCTGTCCTGGAACTAGCTCTTGTAGACCAGGCTGGCCTCGAACTCCCAGAGATCCACCTGCCTCTGCCTCCCGAGTGCTGGGATTAAAGGCGTGCGCCACCACCGCCCGGCCCTAGTAAGTTTTTTGAAGTTCATGAAGCTTTAGGAGTCTGTGAGCCTTTAGGAGTCTGTGCCTAACCAAGGGCAGGTTTTTGAGGGTTAAAGACCAGTTACTGGCTCATGTTGCTGCTCCCTGGTCTGCTGTGATAGGAAGTACCTTTCACTGCTATGGTCTGAACGACTTTGCCCTGCCTTCCCTACCACGACTAACTGAAACCTTTTGAGACTTTGAGCTGAAGCAAATCTTAAGTTGTTCCTGTCAGTTGTACTATTGTGGTCACAGATACACAAAAGTAACTAATACACAGGGCTGCTTATTTTCCCTGAAAAGGGTATAATTGTGTGAGATGGGGACCCCGTGGTAGGAGCTACGAGAAGGCAGAGGCAACGGCAAATGCCAAGAGCTGGGGGACTGTGGGTAGGAATACGTGTATGTGGCAGGCTGCTTGGGCTAGGACACGGGAAGCACGCCAGGCTGTGTGGCCTTCAGACCACAGGGAGGATGATGTGACTCTGAGTACCAGGAGAAGCTTGGAGGGTGTGGAAGTCAAGGACAGCTGATTCCATGCTCCTAGAAAAACAGTCTCAGAGATGGGCTGCAAGCCCCAAATGTGCCACTAGCTGACCAGTAATGATCCATCCTGACATGGGACCCCCAGATTTGGGTCCTGGCTGGATTGCTTCTGTAAGAGGTGACCCAGGTTTCCTGTCCCATCCTGAGGAGGGTCCAGATAGTCTTGAAAGGGAATCTTCCAGCAGTGGGGACCTAAGAGAAGGGGGAGTGGCTTCCACTCTCAGGGCCAGCACCAGTTCTGCCTGTTCCTACTCAACACCCCCAACCCCCTCACTCCAGGGCTCAGTTCCTGACTCTACCAAAGCCCAACCCACGTCTGGAAGGAGAGCAAGGCTAGAGTTTAAGCCCAGACCTAAAGCTGGATGAAGGAAACTGGCTAAACCCAGGGCCCCTCCTGGCTGGTACTGTCTGAGGGTGTGTCTGCAAATACTTTGTGAATGAATACATGGTTTAAGGAAGGTGGGAATCTCCCTGTGCCCAGTCTCTTCACCTGTGGTGATGCTCTCACCCAAAGATAAGAGGAATATAGGCAGGACACAGTCATACATGTGTGCATACACCAGCCAGGCTCCCTTTTATAAGGCAGGCCCACAGTTACTGGAAAGGAGCAAGCATTCCCACCTTGCAGCTTATCTGTAGCCCTGAGGAACTGGAGAGAAGAGTTGTTTAGCAGCGGTGG